AACCATTTTTTGCTATTGGGGACAAAATATTAAGTCCTGATCATGTGTAAAAGAATGCATTTACAAAAATATAATGAATGGAAGTTGTGTTGATGATTTTATTGCCTTAATATCATTAAAACTGGGCAAGTTTCACTGTGATGTGTGTTAACTGAAAGTTTTAACGTGCTCTGCTGTGCTGCTAGTGTTCGCTTAATTAAACCTAAGATTAGAATAAAAGGGAGAAGCTGTTACTGTAAAGTTTTAAAAATTAGCACTTTTGCAACAATATCTTGGAAGAAATGTAATAACAATGACAAGTTTTAAACAAAGCAATCACATAAAGTATATCAGATAAAGACAGATCAAAAATGCACTTTATGGACTGCTGCTCCTCAGTTACAGCCTGAAACAAACTTCTTCTTGTGCCTTTAAAAGCAGTCTGCGTTTATGGCAGCAGAGTTAATATTTCACACTATAATTTCATAAACATACAATTGTGTTACTCGGTTCAGTTTGTCTCTGATAAACCGTTGGACTTTGATCCACGCAGCGTGACGCCTTGGCTGAGATTGAACTGTTATGGCAGTTGTGGAGGATCCATACTGAGCTACACCTGAATTGAAGACGAACGAACCGTTTCTTCTTTTATTGGAAGTTAATGAAACAATAAAACAGCCTGCCTTAAAATTGCATTTTCACAGTTTGAAAACCAACAGACGCGTTTTAAACTTTACACTTCTCTCTGGAACTTACAAATCCGATTTTTAAGGCGACCGGGCTGTGCTTCAATCGACGCAATAACGTCCCTAAAGCAATACTCATTTGGCATTTTTGGCTGTTGGTGGTCTCTGCTGGCTTTTACTGGAACTCTACAGAGCTATGACATCTTTAAATGAACACTCATAAATAATTTGCCAGTAATATGTCAGCGAAGAAAATCCGACACATAATAAAATACATGCAGCTCTTATATAATCGATTCCAATCACATGGGTGCATATTTCAAGTATCTTTCTATTGTGACAGTGTCCAGTCTGCAGCCACTGTTTTGCACACTGAACACTTTTTAAATGACTCTAGCACTCTTTCAAATTGACATGCATTCAATTTCCAACAATCAATAAGCAGAGAGTTAAATATGCGTTTTAAAGACACGCTGCAGTGGCTAAAGACAGGATTGATGGTTTCAGTTCAGAATGGATGATCATAAGAACTACGACAGGAGGGGGTGTCTCCGCCAAAGCTACATCCTCAGCACTTCCCGGGACTAATAAGCCCAGCGGTAATGAAGGACCTAGTATGTTTAATGAGGCTGATGGATGAACAGGACATGCCACACACATGCATGATTTAAGATGATA